CTCCTTTGGTAGCACGTGGCCAGCCTCCTCGAACTGGGTATATCATCGACGAACAGCACGTCCAGATACTCCTAACACACGCCCTACAACCTCGCATGGTACAGCCTATGCATAATGTAGAGTCACCGCGCGCCACTTGTAGTCAGCAGAGTAAATCGTCGTTGGCTAGTTTGTAATGAAGGGCGAGTATCTGAATGGCAGAGAGATAGTTTACTCTAAATTGGTTTAAGTATGATTCAAAGTCATTTTTACGACAAAGTACAACTCCGATTTAAAATACAATTTTGGGCTTAATAACGTTTATTTTGGATGGGCGTTCCAACAGGTTTTAACAAATCAGTAGCAAAGTTGTATCCAAGTTGAAATCAATTATGGCTACCTTTTTCTAACCATTCATTAAGCATTTTAGATATATTTCTAAAAGTGCTGGCCATCATTGCCCAAGCCAGTCAAAAGCAGACTTCTCCGTCGCCATGAGGTTTCACGACTTTAAGCCGGCGTTGTGTCCCGAAATCCTGGCGGAGACTGATGCGCTGGGCTTCGAGCACATGACGCCCGTCCAAGCGGCCACACTACCACTCTTTCTATCCAACAAGGACGTATGTGTGGACGCTTGTACAGGAAGCGGTAAGACGCTATCCTTCGTGTTGCCCATTGTACAGCTACTCAAGGCTAAACTGGCGGACGGAAGCATCACGGCACCACGCCACGCCGACCTCACTAAACTCGTGGCCATGATTATCTCGCCTACGCGCGAGTTGGCACGTCAGATCTTTGAGTGCGCGGAGAAATTCTTCACCCGGGCACTGCCAAGTGTGCAGCTGCTGCTTTTCGTAGGCGGCACTAGTGTTGACGAGGACCTGTCACTAATCCGCGGCGCGGTGGGCAAGTGCTCAGTAGTTATTGGCACACCCGGCCGAACGGAGGACCTGCTGAACCGCTGTGTGGGTTCCAGCGTTGAGACGCGTGAGTTCGAGATGCTCATACTGGACGAGGCTGATACATTGCTGGATATGGGCTTCGAAGTGAGTCTCAACAAAATTCTGGAGCATCTACCGAAGCAAAGACGTACAGGATTATTCTCAGCCACGCAGACTCAAGAGGTGAAGGCTTTGGCACGCGCTGGACTGCGTAACCCTGCAACAATCTCCGTACAGGTAGCAAACAATACGCAGGTTACACCGGCCACCCTACAGAATTATTACTGTTTGGTAGGTCACGACCAGAGACTGTCAGCATTGCACCACTTTGTGCAGTCCAAGAAGGGCGAGAAGCTCATTGTCTTCTTCTCCACATGCGGATCTGTGGACTTTTTCAGTCGTGTGTTGGAGGAATTATTCAAGGGCAAAAATGACTTCCCGGTTGTGGCACTGCACGGCAAAATGCCGCAGAAGAAGCGTACAACGAATTACGACCACTTTTCGACCTTGAAATCGGGGCTTTTGGTGTGCACGGACGTCGTGGCGCGTGGTATCGATCTGCCCGATGTGGACTGGATCGTTCAGTATGATCCTCCACAAGACCCGAACTTCTTCGTGCACCGTGTGGGTCGTACAGCGCGTGCTGGACGCTCTGGTTGCGCTCTCTCCTTCTTGTCATCAAATGAAGACGCATACGTGAACTTTTTGAAGATTCGTAAGGTGCCGTGCGAAGAGATGACGCTCCCATTGGACACGATGGAGGATGTACTGCCCAAGGTCAAGTCGTTCATCCTGGAAGACCGTGATCTGCTCGAGAAAGGTACGAAGGCGTTTATGGCGTTTGTACGGTCGTATAAAGAGCATCAGTGCCAGTTCATTTTCCGCTTTAAGGAGCTCGACTTGGGTGCTGCTGCACGTGGCTTCTGTTTGCTTCAGTTACCCAAGATTAATGAGCTGCGTAATGTGCGCATCAACTTTGAGAAGACAGACATCAAGACTACTGACATTAAATACAAGGACAAGGCTCGCGAAAAGGAACGTCAGAAGAAACTGGCAGTCATTGCGAAGGAGAACGAGGCGCGGGACAAGAAGAACGCTGAAATGCGCGAGAAGAAGCGCAAACGACCGCTTGACGAGGAGAATCAAAAGCATCCGCGTCGTCGTGAAAAGAAGAAGGGTCTGCACCAGCAAATTGTGGAGGAATGGGACGAGTTGGCTGAGGAGGAGAAGCTCTACAAAAAGATGAAGAAGGGCAAAATCACAGAGGAGGAGTACGAGAAGGCCCTGCTTGGTAAGGCTGATAGTTCTGATGACGAGGATGACGAGGACGAAGATGGAGACATGAAGAAGAAATCAAAGTGGCAGCGTTCGGAGGAGAAGATGAAGGAGCGATTCAAAAAGAAAGAACAGGTGGTGAAGAAGACGGCGGAGCAAAAGCGTGAGGCAGCCAAGCGCGAGGAGCGGATTCGCAAGCGCAAGAAATCTCAACATGTCCAGCGCGCAATGCAAAGAGCTCAGCGCCGTGCCCGGCGCTAGTTTCATACGCTTGTGGATTCGCAACCTGACCAGGTTTGGCATTGAAGATAGAGGATAATACTATTCATTTCACTCCAGTTCTCGTTACGAAGCGAACTGCGGCAGTTCCCAAAACGTAGCTCCCGTGCGTGTGTTGTAAACGTAGGCCATGCCGGTTGTTGGATCAATCGCTTGGGCGTACACCAAACGTGCCAGCGCTCGTACACCCTCTCTTGCTTTTCGACATCGATAGAGACCTTGAAGTCGAACCGCAGCTTCGTTCTCAGTGAGTACTCGCTGTGGTTTTTGCCGCAAAGATACTGATCCAACTTGTTCTTGCTTGAGAGCCCAAGCAGCAGTGCGAGTGAGTTCGCTGTTGTAGTCACATTCAGTTCGACTTGCAATACTCTGTAGGATACTTGAAATTGACGGCGATCCTATTGACTGGAGTGCTCTGTTCCAGGATGCTGTATACGTGAAGCAAGGAAGACATCGGCTGTTTAGCAGTAGACGTGCAAGTTCCACTTAACTTTCACCACTTACCACTACATCCTGCAAGACGTCCAAGCAGAAGACAACCTTGTCGCTGGAGATGCATATCCTTCTTGAATTTCAGCATCGCATTTCGAACGGCGATCACAACGGGCAAATCGGTAGGTTCAAGTGATCCCATACCACCATTTCGCCCACCAACTGACGAGCTCCCTATCGAATTTCGAGAATTACCACGACTTGAACTAACTCACAAACCCAAAGCATAAATTCAAATAGTACCTTTCATTGCCATCGTCGCTAGAATTTCTGCCGCATATCGTTGGACAGCACCAGCGTTCTTGTGCTTGTCCATCAGTTTTGCGATACCCTTTGCACCTTCCCGGGTTGCAGCAAGTCGAATGGCTTCGTGCTGGTCCAGTGTAGAAGTAGCGGACTGTGTACGATAACCTGTCGTGGAGGGGGAAAATGGCCCCCAGCCTCCAGCAGTCCGTGCGCGAACTCTGAAACAGTAAGCTGTATCTGTTGCTAGTCCAAATATTGTGACTGTCGTGGGAGGAATCATTCCGTTTCTCGCAACGTCCTCGTAGCATAAGACTTGGAAAGCAGCAGCTCTCTTCCAAACACTCGCTTCACCTGCTCCATCGGCGCAAGCCCGACCGAAACCACGGCGTTGGATGTGAAATCCGAGCACAGTCGGAACCTCAGTACTTGAAACGGGTGTGGCCCATGTTAAAGTGATGCTGTTTAAAGTTGACGAGACGAATAAAGGTGGCGCCAGCGATACGGTTGGTGGTTCTACATGGATAAAGTTAGAGATGATGTCCAATATTTCTTGATGTGCTTATTTTTCACGTACCTGGTATTTCCCCTAGTCCGAAGTCAGTCGCGTGCTCAGCACCTAATACAGAAGGTGTTTGAGTTATATCCTGGAACTCGGCAGCGTGTTCATATCTTGTTCGAACCTGACTCTTGTATTCAGAGTGGACAAGAGCGTTGTGCTTTGCAGCATCCTCGCGAATAGCCTTGCAAACATATTTTAGCACGTCTTTAGCAAAAAGCGACGGGCGAGGATCTTGCTCAAAGCCATTTTCTTTGTCCAGCTCTGGTATTATTGCGGCTCCCCGAAATGCATCACGAAATCGAAGCAAAAAGTTGCTTACGCGCTCTTCATTTGCTCGAACTGGGGCCTCGGTGTTCACGTTACACGACTCCACCATTATGACATTAAGTAACTTGGGGTTGGTTCGCACTGCTTTCTCATGAATTTTTTCGTTTGAAGGTAGGCGCTTTCCGCTCTCAGGTAAGCCCTGAAGTCGTAGTTGCACAATTTGCTCGTATAACTGTGAGAAAAACTGCTCATGGATACGGTGATGAATCGTCTCAGTATCATCGTCGACTCTGTCTTTGGTTTCTTGGATTTGGCAAAGCTCGAGTGCAATAAACTTGTTCTTGCACGGAATATCTGTGCGCAGCATAATTTTTTGGTTAATTACAATGTAGTTGTTGGTTTACACGAACGTATACTCGTGCTGACCATTAATCATTTCAGCAAGCTCGCGTTCATGAATGGCCGTTAGGACTAGCTCTTCCTCTGACGAAAGCCTCGTTTCACTGAACAGCACATATGACCCCTCGTTGGCACCGCGAGTAACTCGAGCACCATGAGTCTACACATGCAGGTGAATTGCTGTAAAGTGGTAGTGAGAATTCCAAGCTATTGCTTACCGACAAGCACATGAAAAACGAAGAATCTGGTTCGTCAGCGCATAACTTCTTGAGCTCTTTCATGGTATCTTGGAACTCAATAACTGAAGGGTTCAGCAGCAGCTTGGAGCCCCTTTGCGAAAAGTGGTTGAAGCGTTGGCCAACTAGACTGTCGAACAGCGATATTGCCACCTCTTTGGTTTTCTCCGATAGTGCCGGGAGGTTCTTAAAATTATAGGATACGGCTACTAGTCCAAACGATTGCTTAGGTACCACTGGGGTTTGTTGGGCATCACAGTGTAAAGATTCTGGATGCTTTGCAGGTGCAGGCTGTAGCGCAAGCTCAATGGTATCTACATTCGAAAAGTAAATAATGAGAGCCAAAGATCTTTTGCTGATTGAGTAAATGAGTGACGTGTTTACCTTGAGTTACGGGAAACATTTGACGAAGCTGCTGTCGTATCTCAAGCAGCAACGCTAATTGTTTTCTGTAGATTTCGCTTTCCTCGGCGGACTTGGCTTCAAGTACCCTCCACACTTGCTCGTCATTCTGCATTTCCGATTCCGAGCTAACTCGTCAAAGTGACCACTCGTTGGCACTAAGCTCGAACGGGCGATCGTGAAGTTGGCCGGTTACTATACCGGACACGGCCTACTTTTATCAGTTCACTAATTGGTGCCAAATGAACGTCAAAAGGCTCGACGACGACAACATCGTTGCCGACTGCCCCGGGGTACCGCAGTAAAGTTTCAACAACTCTACCGCACAACGCGTGCTGAGTCGCCACGGCTCGGATGTAGGTTCTAGCTCGATTGGGATGTTCACCTCGGAGTGTCTGAACTAGCTGAGGAAAAAAATCAACCTCTTGTCTGCGGAATTTCTCTTGGTACTCTTTTTCAACTTTGTGCAGAAACTCGAGAATGACTGGCGTTCGAAATGATTCTGGAACGAAACTCATCCAGACATCGCGCTTTTTTCTGGATCCAAGCCTTGCCTTCGAAGATTGCAACATGCAACAAAGTATGAGGTGAGTTTCTGGCATATCGCTACGAATTTAAAGCTACCATCTCACCTCGAACTGTTTGTCCTCGTGTTCTTCGATTGCGGCATCGACGTATTGAGTTTCTAGTTCAATCCATGCTTTTTCAATAATCAGGAACTTAAGTTTTCGAGTGCCTTGCTTCATCCGCCACAGCCCTTGAACGAGTTTTACTCGACGTATAAAGATCCGCAATCCTCTGAAAACGCGAAAGCCGACACTTTTCACAGCCACGCTTTTCTGAAGCCACTCAATTAGAAGATGTGCTGCGCTCGCGTTCTTGTGCTTGACTACGCGATGCTGCCTCCAGATTCGGATGGTCCGCGAAAGGTGGCTTTCTAGACGATGCTGGCTCCAGTGTAGTCTAAGCATATTCAGCATTTTTTGCGTGAATGCGCTCAGCATTACAATGGGCTGCATGTTTTGCGCTTCGTACAGTAACTGCTCACGTATACGTTTTTGCTGGCGTGTCTGGGCTCGAAACTCGGAGGAAGCCTCAATCACCCTGCGCTCATAATTTTCATCTTCTTGTGCCTTCCTGATTCTGTTGTTTTCGAGTCGATTTTCGTGTGTGCTAACCCACTGTTGGTGTCGCTCTTGGAGTAGCTGCAAAACAAAAAAAATTAGACCCTGTAGAATCCTCTTCCATGCAGCAACTTGCTTTACCATTTTCTTAAAAGCTGCTGCCATGTTGAAACCCATCGGAGACGAAGCACCACCAGCTAATACAGTCCGGTGATAGTACGCTCGCATGCGCTCATAGCCCCGAATTGTCTCCCAAAAAGCAGCGTGGTCATCATCTGAAATCGGTAGCAGCTTAAGCCGCTGCTTCATTTTCTTCAGTTGATCATCCGCCGTTACCGCAGCACCAGCCTCCGTTGTAGTGACATTTAGTACGTTACTGCGATTTAGCCCGTCCGGTGACGGAACGTCAAACGCGCTCGACGAGGGCTGTTGGTTCAGAGATCCCAATTGTTGTACAGGGGGTTTAGTCTTAGCTAATTGCCGCTCCAGCGACGCCAGCGCCAGCTTCTTAGACTCATCTTCTCCTTGTTGTTTTTCATTATTGGGTACCGCGTTGCTGGCCCCTTTCAATAGTTTCTTGTGCTTGGAGAAGAAAATCTCGTTCGATGTCGACATCAACGGCGCCAAGTACACTATAAGGGCGACAAATTGTGCGCACATTTGGTCAGCACCACGAATCGCATTAAATGATGCGCTCGCAATTGTTTCTCACACCCGCACCTACTCGAGTGTCTTCCTTATCAACAGCTAGAGCTCCCGCGGGCATCGGATACTGCGGCAGGATCGGCAGCAGCGAGCGCTTCTTCGAAGAAATGAGACGCATTGCATCAACCTCCCCATTTCCTTGCGCCTTGACTTCATCCTCCATCTCCACGCTGCGGTCTATTGCAATTCAGTGTGCAGTACGAGCACTGCCGAATCGACCATCACTCCGCGTCCAAAGTTGAAGTTTATTTTCAGCGAATCAGACGAAAGGTCGAAGTTGAAGCTAACAATAGCAACATGAAACCAAACGCCAAGGATAGCTAGAGTTCCTGGGATGCCTGTGCGTCCACTGGAAAGACGGAGACGCAATTGCCAACTGCTACTTGCGACGCATAGATAAGCTCAGCTAAGGTGTTGCGACCCGCATCTCCGGCCAGGAGCAGTACGTGACAAGAGACAGCAGACGCCACTCCGCTCTCGACTGCGCGCTTTGTTTCGTAGAGATATCATAGCGAGCCGATTGCGACTGCGTGAGCTGCTTATTTTTGATACCAATCCAGTGATCTACTCGCACCCACTACCATAGAGCTGGAGTAATGCCATCGGACACACCGCTCCACAAGGCAGCTCACAACGGTGACAAGGGCGCTTGCCTACAGATTCTGGAGGAGAAGTCAGTAGATGTCAATGCACCTGGAGCTGGCGATCGACGGGCTCTGCACCGTGCTGCAGGAGGTAATCACGCAGAATTGTGCACGCTGTTACTGGATAAAGGCGCAGAAATTGACGGGGTACGTGCTTGTATCTTGTGTAGTCACTTGTGTTTAGTGCTAAAAGGATATTGCTGTTTTTTTTACGTTTTGTAGGCGGATAAAAGTGGTCGAACAGCACTACATTGGGCGTCTATCAGTGGTCACAAAGAGGCTACATTGGTGTTGCTGCAGAAGGGAGCAAACATTAATGCAGAGACCACAACGGGGATGACGGCACTCCACGGCGCAGCTGAGGGCGGTAAAGTGGAAATAGTTAGACTGCTGATGGAGAACAAGGCGGATTCCGCCAAGAAAGACGCAAACGGGAAGTTGCCTTTCGACTACGCAATGGACGGCAAACATAAAGCTGTAGTAAAAGTGCTCAAGGAAATGGGAGACGCAGCTGCGCAAAGCGCATCCTGTGTTATTCAATAGCCGTCCGAATACCCGCTGCGATGACTCTCGCCGCAACCGAATTCTTATTTGACCTCATAATACAAATTCAAGAGCTGCAAGCAAGAAAATGTATTACGAGATCAGCGGTCTACAATATGATGCTAGCGATAAAATGCCTTTGCACTATCCTTCGTACGTTTACCAGTCGTTCTTGTGGTAAAGCTTGCCCTTAATGCTGAGCTTGGCCGAGTTGCGCGACCGTCGCTTGCCACCTGCTTTTTGGCGTGCCTGTCGATCGCGTTGCACTCGCTGCTTAATGATCTCGTTCTCTACAGCGAACGAATCCTGCGCTTCTTCATCGTCGACTTCACCGCTGATCTCCTCCTCGGATCCATCGGCCTGGTCATCAAGAGTCGTGGCTTCAACTCCTTGTACAAGGTCCGGTACCTCTGCGTCGCCGTCCTCTTCCTCTCCTTCGCTTTCCTCTTCACTTTCGTCCTCGTTATCATCGTCACTGTCACTTTCCTCAACGTTCTGGTGAGCCGAGAAAATCGAGAGCTACGTCAACAGAAGATCAACAATTACCAGTCAGTCTGTTGACTCGCACATCATATTTTACAATGAAACAGCATCTTACGTCGTGCACTTTTTCGCCAAACTCCTTGCCAAAGCCGCTTGCCTCCACATCCTCGTCCAATCGGACGTTTTCATCGGCCACGATGTCCTTCAGCTTCGGAACACGCTATAATTGCAGGGAAACACATCATCAGCACAATCACGTATCACACGCATAGCTGCTTAGACTTCTGTTTACGTCAGGTGTGTAGGCGCCGCCTTGCAGCCGCGAGAAGAATTTCACGAGTCCGTGCACATCGCGATCAAACAGCCTGCGGACAAACAGCATGTCAGAAAGTGTGTACATGCGACGACACCGAAACTGCACTTACTCAGCAGCGTTCGGGTGCGACGTCGAGATCATCTGCGGGAAATCGATCATGGTGATTTTGCCATCGTCTCCGATCATAATGTTGAACTCGTTGAAGTCACAGTGCACCAGTCCGTATTCCGCCAGTCGCACAACAATCGACATGGCCGTGTCATAGGCATCTTTCGAGTTGGCAAGACGGCGCACTTGGTTAAGCGGGTAGCCATCTACAAGACTCATGCAGATCGCGTGGCGGTTGCAGTCGATAGGCGTCGGCGTCGGGAAATCACGGTCGTACAGGGCCTACAATACCAACAGTGAGCGGGACCGCACAAAAAGGGCCAAGGCTATCAGATACAATTTTACCTTCAGGAAGGCGTACTCCTTCATAGCCGAGAGGCGTGACATATAGAACCAGCTGACTGACTTTCGGTTCTTCAGGTAATCTCGCTTGGATTTAACGGCGCGGAACGACGTGCGTCCAAGACGGTGGAACTTGATGGCCACCTCCGTGCCGTCCTCCTGTGTGGCCAGGTAGATGTCGGACTCTTTGCCAACGCCGATCTGGCGGCCCAAGCCCGTGATGTGGCCGCGCTGCAGGAACACACGCAGCGCTAGGTAGTCGTATCCATTGTAAGTGAGGCGGAAACCGTTGTAGGCGTTGCCGTCGTGCGCGATGAGCTTGTTACGAAGCAAGTGCGACAGAATTTTCTGCACACCACCATGACGCAGTTTGGCGATGCTGGTGATGAGCTCCACGGGCACCACCTCGTGGTTCTTCATGCCCATTTCGATGGCTGTCAGCACGCGGAAGTGCTCCTTGGTAAGGTAACGCATTGCGGTCACGTCGAGCTTCATGGTGACTGGGCAGAGACTCCTGGAATTGCTGTCGCTTTATGATTTTGCCGACGCCAGTCAAAAATGGGGTTAAGAACATAGACGAAGCAAATAGATAACGGTTAGTGGTAGATAGATCAGTTTACATTTACTCTCGTTTTAGTAATAAAAAAAATGTTACACTTGGTTTTAGGTTTGAAATTCATTGGCATTTTGTCCATAGATTACGATGTCAGTCCGGTTCGCGTTGAAGGCGTCGAAGAAGCGGCGGCGACAGATTGAGAACGACAAGAAGCTTCAGGCGCCACTAAGTGGTACATTTTCTACAATTGAGTCATTGCAACAGGAAAAAAACAATGGTCCATCCAGGCGAGTGAAGAGCCAGGTGGGGCTGCTCGAAGATGTCCAAGCAAAGGTGAAGCGCCTGAAGGAAGAAGGCAATACGCTCGCAGAGGCCGGCAAGTTTCGAGCGGCAACGGGAAGATGGAAGGAAGCCCTGGCTGTAGATCCAGACAACGCGGCGCTATATGAGCTTCTGGCGCAGGCGTCCATGGCTGTGTGTGAGGACTTCCAGGCCGTCCAGTTTGCACGCAAAGCGACCGAGTTGGCGCCAACCTGGAGTGACGGATTCCTCACTCTCGCTCGGTGTCAACTGAACTTTGGCGAGTTGTTGCTAGCTCGTGAAGCTCTGGAGCAGGTTGGTCACAAGTGCAGTAGTTCACAAGTGCAGTGGTTAATAACGAAGTTCCTGATGTTGCTTCGATCACGTTTGGTTTGCTAGGCTGTCGAGCATAATGGCGGCGTGGAGACGGAGGAAATGGCGTCTGATTGTCAGGACATCGAGGAACTCCTAATGAAACAAGAGCAGGTACTGCGCAAGCGTGATGAAGAAGCAGCACACGAAGTGGAAGCAGACAAACTGGAGGTCATCTCTTGCTTCAAGCACCTCAGTTTTCGAGCCAAGGCAATTGACATGAGCGAAGAAACCCGCAAATGAGTAAAGCAAATAAGTATGGACAAGTAAATTTAAAAAGGTGGAGCTGATCCTCTTGGTTCACGGTGGACGATCGTCCCTGGCTTGGCGGGGATCTATATACTATAGCAACTAACTTACAAATGCTGGTGGGCTTGCCCAATCCGGCTAATCTTCCCTGCCTCACTCATCAACTTGTCTCCTGCCACGCGTGGTCGAGGATATCTCCATATATACATAAGATATATACATTCGCGCAAGCTTCAGCAGGCTGTGTGCAATGGCAATCATGATGATTCTCCTTCCAACTGGCTGACGCTTGAATGTGGCTCGCTCGCTGTTTACGAGCAAAGCTTGCTGCCTTCAATTGTGTACGACGAAGGCTCGCCGTGGGGAGCGGTATCATAGGACGACGAGTAGTCATCCTGCTGATCCGTGATAAAGTGCATGTACGACCGCTTGCGGGACCCACTACGGTCGGTGTCCGGTTGTCTTGCCGTCTGTGGTGCGTAGCAGTCGTAGGGCTCATAGTCCGATTTGTCTTCCGTCTGTGGTTCGTGTCTCGTGTCGAATAATGAGTCGATCTTCTGACTCATGAGGAAACACAATGTTGTGGCGGCAGCGGCGATGTACTCTTGGTCCACGGGATCACAGTTACCCGGATCCAGACGCCGCACTTTCTTTCGTGGGGTCTTGCGTGGACTGTCTTGGACGGCACCGTGTTCTGGAGTAGAGGGAGCCGTGTTACTGCCATCAACGGAGTCTCCTGCTGTGGATCCAGAATGCGTCTCAGCAGCCAGAGTCGCCATTTCGGGGACCTTGCCACTCTGTTTCTTTTCTGCTTTGAGCTTGGCCACCTTGAGCAGGTACTTCTGGGCATGTGTGCGCACCTGGGTCACCGAACGTGTGCGGACCACTTGCTGCACACGTTTCCACTTGTGACCGTGGATGCGGAATCCCTCTAAGAAGCGCTCGTGCTCGTCCGCTGTCCAGCGTCCACCGCGGATCGGCTGGTTGATGTTGCCGCCGCGTGTGGATGTTGCCGTATTTTCAGCCTCTTGGTCCGCCTCTTCTTCGTCAGCAGGTGCCGGTGCAATACGGCGTGAGTTGGGCGACGGTGACGTCTGTCGAGCTGGAGACGAGTCAGCGCTAAGCTGTTGGTGTTGGTGGCGAGTGGAGATGTACTGGTTCTCTTCCTCGTAGTTCTGTGGAACCATTGACACCTCGGGCTTGGTGAGAAGCGGCTTGCCGAAGCTGTGGAGCGACGGGAGGCTGAACTTGGGCATGGCGCTGTTGGAGGCGCTACCGGAGCTACTGCGGTTGAGGATATTGGCGAGGCCGAAGCCAGAGGATCCACGCCACGGTTCTGATTCCTGTGCGATTGGAAGGGTAGCAGAGGTTAGCGACTTGTGTCTGTGTTGGTTAAGGTCGTGGCGGCGAGAGCGCACCTTTTTCAATGGCCCATCGTGTTCATGTCGTCTGTAGCTTTCGTCGCCGTAGGCTTCTCTCTTGACGCGGTCCATACTGGCACGTTGTGTGTTCGAGGCCGGTGGCTATATATATACTACCTCGGCCGTTGATGTGCGTGTCACTAACGGCGGTCACGTCGGTGAAGAGCCGTATGAAACGTCAGAGGGATCGTCGAGTGCTGAGTCGGCTGCAACAAAGCAAAGTCGGAGTGAGAACGCCGATCTTGGAGAGTCTTGGAGTGACTGAGAACGGATGCGAGCGGGATGGAGGAATGGATGGATCCACTTCCTCATGCGCCGCCTGCAACCGCAAACCCAAACACACACACCAACCGCGCCCAGCTGGCGCGTGTTGCAAATTCAGCGCGGCAGCAGCCGCAAAACATGCAGCACAGGCGGAAGAGCGGTGGCGTGTAAATGGCATGCACAGCAGTCTATAGAGGAACTTACCTCGGCGTCGCGGTCTGGGCTGTCGAGACCTGGAGATCTGTTCCGCTCTCTCGGTGCTTTTTGAGCTTTGTGTGGTCTGGGCGAGACAAGATCGACGCTTGACGGTTTGCACTTGGCTCACCTCGTTCGTTCGCGCGCTGGCCCTTCATAGTAAGTCCAAGTCAACTTTGAGGCGATTCAGTTTTCTTGGAGGTTAGGGCAGAAGCTCGCGGGGGAAGAGCCGGGCCGGCAACAGGCATTGGCAACATCACTGGATGGCATGTCGCGACGTCGTAACGAAGAAGATCGCGAGCATGAGACCAGCAGAGCTTTCCGCCTGTCGAGGCCCTGCTGTCGTGCTGAGTGCTGCCAACTTGCGAGTGCCGAGGCAACGTAGCCCAGAGAAGGAGTTATGGTTGCAGCTGTTCGTGGCTTGCGGCATTCTTTCCACAATTCCTCTTCACTTGATGTGGTACCGCGCGTCCAAGTCAAGTCGCCGCGATAAAAGATCGGCGGACGGCGTCACCTCTGTGTTTGGAAGCAGGGATTCCTCCCTTCGCACATAGAAGTCCACGCGCGGAGGTTTTGTATCCTCGCTAGATTTTGGCAGTTGGCACGGCGGGGGTAGATAGGCAAGGGCGTGAAGCAAAGTTCAGCGACGAGCGGAGCCCCTCGAGCTCGGAAGCCAGCACTGCAAAGTGCACCTGATAAAGTCGCGAGAGACAGGCAGCGTGATGTGCATGAGAAAGATTGGCCACACAGGGCGCTGATTGGCTGATCCGAAAAGGCGTAGGGAAGGCAAAAGTATCTTGCCAAGAGTTCAGTTCACCAGGGCCAGTTCACCACTCGCAGCGATTTGTCTCCAGCCGCTCTGCGCAGCAAAGCTCACTACGGGCCGTAGGTCTGACGCAGTTCGTGAAGGAAGCTGCTCAGCAAGCTGCTGAGCTGCTGAAGCCGCGAATCCGTTCTCTTCTGGTCACCACACGCGCGCGTTGAATCAACGTGCTGTATACATGTAACATGTAATAAAGCTCTTTTTTTCGCAGGTGGGATTGATTCTCGGGCTGTGAAGGTAGGATGCACCCCCATGGATCGCCGCCTTGATGCGTGGCTCTTCTTCTGCTTGTCGATCGCTCGAGGTAGCGTGGCAAGCAGGCATCCCTACAACACGACACAGAGCTCCTGAGAGTGTAGAGCAGTCCACCCTCGCTAATAAAAAGCCAGCGTATCCGATCTAAGTTTAGATGGCGCTATTTGTGCTGAATCTAGCGCAAGTGCTTGCTTGCCAGCAGGATGAAAAGCGCTACACACGAGTAGTTTATTGACATGGTGGACAAGTCGGAGCTGGTTGCGTACGAGCGCGAGAAGCGCCTGTACAAGGACGCCTACGTGGAGAACTTCCGCTCAGTGCGCTACTTCCCGTCACTGGCCACCATCGGCGCCGGACGGACGGACGGTGACAGCATCGTCTTGGTGCAGGAGCCGCAGGTCCCGGACGCCGATTGCACGCCGCCGAAAGACGTGCGATCCAGGCTCGACGATGTCGCGAGCCGCCTCATCCCGCCAGGCTCGGTCTGTCTTTCTTGAAGTTTAGGATTCGCGTCGACCTGACGATCGCACGATTCACTGACGTCTGCTTCGTTCATGCATGGGTCCACTTGCAGCTCGAGGAGATCTTCGACACGACGCTGCCGCTGACGACGTTCCGGTCTGCCATTATGTGCAAGCATTCCAAAGCTCGCCAAGAACGGCGTGCAGCCGAAGCCGCCTCTGGCGCAGGTTCTGCTTCCAAGGCCGACCTGGTAACGGCAGCCTGCCGATACAAAGGTTACAGCAAAACGGTGCGACTACATACCTTGACTGCATGTAGATTCAGCCCTATCCAATCCTCTGCTTATCTTCCCACTAAAAGCGTTGCATTGGACTCATGCATGCACACGATCGACAGCCAGGCGTGTTCAAGCCTACCAGCGTTGCGGAGGCCAAGAGTGCCATTCAGCGCAAGGTCACATACGACGGACAACCGTTCCAGGACAAACCGCGCTCCATGCGATCGGTACGACGACGCAACTGCGACGTGGATTGCAATCTGTGGAGCTTTTTTCAATAGAGCTAACATCGTTCGTGTGCGCGATCTTTTCTGCAGGTCACGCCGCGCACACTGCGCGGCACAGACGCGCCGCCACCGTGGGCCACCAACAACCCCACGAATGCTCGCAAAGAGATTTGCGGCCGAACCTACTTCAACGTGCCGCCCGAGGGTTCCATTAAGGCCGACCGCAAGTACACGCAGGAGTTCATCCGCCTTAGCATGGAGGCCTACCACGCCGGTCGCCGTCACGTTGCCACGGACGACAAGAGAGATTCGCGCTAGATACTTTCTGCTACAGTAGATACTTTTTGGCCATCGGAACTGTATTTTTTTCTCATCGTATAGTACCACGGTTGGTCCACCCCACAACAACAAACTTGATCTCCCAGAAGCGTTGGCAGCACTCGTTCGTTAGACCAGAACGGATTCCACACAAGATACAAGCTACCCGCTCGCTCAGTCAGATCGATCAGCGCAGTCTTGCGCGAGGAGCAGGTGAGCTCAATGCCGTCTCAGAGACGACTGCTGCAACTTTCCAAATTTCGAACCAAAAAAGATAGTGAGAAAAATAGAACCTAAAGTGAATACACCCGAAAGGCATTCCATTGCAGATGCTATGGCAGAGTCCGCCGCTGTGGCAGCGGCGCTGCCTTCATGATCTAGCACTAAAGCTCTAGTGCAACAGAAATTCTGCTCCCCCATCACAACGAGGTGATACTTCCAGGCGACCAGTTTGATATAGTACATGTATCTCAATCACCTTGGAAGGAGATGATCGAGTGAAATGGCGAGGCTGTCGTTATTGTAGCATGAAAAATGTAGCATGTAAAATACAGCAACCGCGACACACACAAAAATTGATCAGTCCTGACAAAGATTCAGGGGTATGATATCGAAGTGCTGAGTCCTGCAACCTTTTCTAATTACGGTGGACCTACTGCCTCTACATATTACATGCATTTCATGGTAACGTCACATGTTACGTTATCGAGTGTAAGATACTTTCCGGGTGGATGATTCAGATGTATTGTCCACTTTTAATAAGCCATCGAGAAGACACCAATTCGACAAGAACCGTCTGGTCCAAAATCGTTAGAATCTGCATTAAAGTAAAGCGAACGAGCGCTACCCACCTGTTCAGCCAGTTCGATGCGGCAAAGTAGCTCGCGAGAGTAGCGAGCCTCGGGCCACCACGATGGGGGGCTCGACGGCACCGCCGGGTCGTCCGAGCGATTACGCTGTTTCATCTACATGTATCCAAACGTCGAGCCGAAGAGAAAATGAGAAAGAAGGAGTTTAAAGAGTACAGAACGAACTCACCCCCGTGCGCAATACGCTCGACATTCGTTGTTCCTGTGACACAGGCCGTAGACCACGCTCCTCGGCCTGGTTTAGCAACGACGACGACCGCATAAACGGGTTCCCGTCCAGCGGAAATTCCTCACCGTACCATTCGACGAGCTCTCGTTGGCTCCCTAGGAAATCTAGAGACCTCACAAGCTGGCAGCAGGAGAACAGAATCCTTGCTGATAAATATTTGCGTGTCACCTTAATTCCAACGTGTGGTCTATTAACGTACGTACCGTGGTAATGAAGTCACCGCCCTTCCAGACAAAAGTAGCGTCGCTACCAGCCGCTGGACTCTGGCGCCACCTCCAAACGGTCTCGAGCATGTCTACAGTTCTCTCCACGAGTGTCACGAGGGCATCGGTCAGCTCATCGAAGGCGCTGAAGCGCTCTCGATACAGTACTGCCGTGGCATATCGCTTCGCTCCAGTCTGGGCGGCCTTTTGCACCCTCTCGTAGGCGCGATCGTATTGTAATAACACAACTGCCGCAGCGTGAAAAAGTGTGTCGATAGAAGCGCTAGCGTTCTCCATTGAATCTCCCCGAGATCGCGGCCGTCGGGTTGACGATCGAGGACGATGATGACATTCCGGCCTGACGGCTATGCGGTGTGTTGGCTTCTCGATTTCGTCACTTGTTGAGCCTTGTAATTTGAGATGGTGTCGATTATCCCAAGGCTGCGGCTTCAATGCGATCACACGGGCTTCTTCTAGTCGCGCGATCTCGGCTTTGCAAGCGATCGGTTCAACCCAAGAACTTTTTAAAGCTTCAAACTCAGTTGTTCGAGCCTCTTTACCGCCCGCAACAGTAGCACGTACAAACTTCACAGGAACCCTCCGTTCACGCTCACAGTCACGATCAAGGAAGTCTAACTGCAGCAAGTGACTATTGTCGTCAATGGCAGCGATACGACAAAGATGCCACCGAGGTATTGTCGCCAGCACAGAACCATTCGTGCGGCGGCGACGGCAGCATTCAACGAGCTGGCCAACCTTGAAGTTGGAACGTTGAGGCTCTCGTTCGTTCGTCAACACTGGAGGTACAGACACGAAGACGTTGGTGATTTCATTGCCGAGTTCGGAGACAAATAACTGCTGCGTGGACATCGGCAGTCGCCGAGCATGAGCCAAACTCAGCTTGTTGATTCGAGCCTCTTCTTCTCGCATGCGGGTGATCTTGAGCTCCTCGCCGAGCTCCAGTTCACGCTTCGCTGCAGCCTCGCGGGCTAATTGCTCGCGGATGGCGCGAGCCTCGTCGCTTTTGTAAGGACGGATCTGAGCTCACGTTGACAAATGTTAGGTTGAACAAACACTTAGAAACGACGATGCAACTCACCTGGTCTAGTGCATCGAACTGCAACACGGATCGCACGATGCGGAGGACATTTTCATCAGCGTGAAGCATAGCCTTCTCATAGTTCGTTTCGAGTAGCTCGAAGAACTCTGGAAACTGGCGCCAAACCGTGATGGCGATCGCTGTGGCCCACAGTTTGCCGGAAATCCCTTCTGTTGGAGGTGGGGCAGTGCCATTGATAATGTACTCAAAGTTGTTTGAGTAGATCCAGCTTCCGTCAGGTTCTTGTGCCTCCAACAAAGCTCGAATGGACCAGGGCAGGCGGCGTCTGTCAGCGCTATCCAACAATCTCCCTTTTGCATGCTTTTGGAGGGGACTACCAGGATCAAACTGTGCAGACTTCTGGCTGGTGTTGGTGCCCTCGGTTGATGGATCCTTGTTGCGGGGTACAATGTGAATTTGACCGTCTTCAAAGATGACATCAGACGACACAGACTTGCCAAATGCTTCGTAGAATTCCTCGAATTTGAACGGAGTCTTTAGGGCCATGTCCAAACGCTAAATAGACACAAAGTCAATCAGGAAGATGTCAGACAAATACGTCGTTTCGATCTATTTTTTTCCCGTTCAGGAGATTTTTTTTAAATCAATCTCGTTGAAGCCGTGTCAGGATTCGGTGGTGGTGGTAAGCTGGCGGAACTGCGCGCGAGTGAATTTGCGCCAACGGGCATATAGGAGACCAGCCAGGGTCACGCCGACGACCAGTATCGCCGGAACGAGCGAGAAGAAGACGTCCACGGCAATGTAGATTAGCAATGCACTCGGGATCAGGAGTGCAGTGATCAGCACAGCGATGTTTCCAGGAACTGACAGCAACAAAAAACAGGTGAGTATATCTGCGAATCTGAGGTTCAGTTTTTCATGAGCGCATACCTTTGAATGGACGTTCAATGTCTGGTTGCGAGAAGCGCAGCTTGATGAACGCAACTAAGATCAACAATTGATAAAAGGCCGAGAGCGCGTTGGTCATGCCAATAATTTCGTCGAACTCGAACTTGATGAGCACTAGAATGATCACAAGACTGGCGTAGACAGCGTTGTGTGGAGTGTTGAACTGTTTGTTGCGCCTAGTGTGAAGTCATCAGCAACGAGTCGTCAACAAGAACGCGTCAATAAGATGTCCAAACTCAACTCAACTTACGCTTTGAGGAATGCTGGAGCGAGGTCACACTCTGCCATACCCAGGATCTGGAACGAATCGCAGAACAGCTCGGCAATGTACATACCAGCATTGCTGCAGAACGTTGCTAGCACGACCCAGTTCGATAGAAAGCTGCCACCGATGTCTTCTGCAATGCTCGAAAATGAGCCTTCCTCCCAAGTCGTCCAGTGCGGCGAGTTAAACACCGTAGCACTAAATAGTGGCGCCAAATACGTGAGCGCTACCAAAAGCACAGAGATCATCAGCGCACGGGGATACGTCTGGCCCGGATTGGCCACCTCGCCACCAAACACCGACATGCCTACTGCGCCATTGAAGTTCCAGAAGAGGGTGTTGATCAGCAGAGACCAATCGATCTGAATAATTACAAAACTCACGGGGTTAGCTTGCCGCTACAGCTACTCTATCAAGGAACTACTATTGGCACTTACGTTGATACTGCCGGACATGCTTATGAAGTCTCCGTTTTCATCATATATAATATCAGAACGACGGATGTCGCCCACTGCGTCCCAGTCATCCGCGCGAACGACTCCCCAGATAAAGAGGACGGCAAACGGGATCATGACGAAGATGGACATCACTGCCATACCTCGGCCCACGATACGAATACCCAGTAGGTTCGGTAAAGCTAGAGCCACGGCAATACCTGCCTTGATGAAGTATTCTGCAACAGGCGAGTTGATGGATCCATAGACATCCGTGAACGTAGCCACAGCCAGTGCCGGGTAGATGGCATTGTCGATCACTTCCGTCATAAAAGCACAAGTGCGTCAAGTCACCGATCGAAGCCATTACATCTCAATAGCTAGCACCTTACCGCCGGATATCCAGGCCCAATAACCGCACTGGAATCCCCAGAACGGTCCGAAAGCGTTGAGCACCCACACCGTGTAGCCACCTGTTACCACAACCAACACCAGTTCAGCTCGAAATCCGCGAGTTAGAGATCGAGACTTGGCTATTACCATCTTGCGGGAACGTGGTGCTAAGCTCCGCCGTAACGTAGGCAATCGGGATGCCAAAGATGAAAGGGAACAAGAGCAAAAAGATGAACCCGATCAACGGGCCACCAGCTGCAACGATCAATCAATGCAGAAGGATCAATCCAGCTACATATATAGCACGACAACAAGCACAGATTGACGAACCTGAAATGATGTACTCGGATCCAATGGGTCCACCGCACACCTATAGACAAAAAATGAAAGCGAATGGTGGATGAGTCTCGAATCCAGAAATGACAATTACAATTCCTGCTCGTCACCCACAGCAAAATAGCACAAGCCGACAATGGACATGACTTTGAGCTGCCGACGATGACCTTCCTTGACCGTCTCGAGCGTGGCACCGAGTCGCAGCCCATGGTTGCTGTCTCCCTCCCCCATTTCAGCAGAGCTCACGCCACTCACGACCAACAGATCCCGCAGCCTGCAGATAGATTTGTACATGTATTCAGTTCTCGCCACCCAACCCTTATTAATAATCAATCAAGACCATCCATCGCCAGGCACTCACTTTTCCAGGTTCGGCGTCAATAGTAAGCGCTCATAGGCACCGCCGGCCTTGGGACTCAGCGCCGCCTCCATGTCGTCGACACGGCTCGATCCCCTCGGGACCAGTTCTTTTTACTGGCACTTGCGGTCTCAGATGACTTGGACTCACTATGTATCGAAACACTGGCGCTGGACACTGCAGTGATAACATAGAATGGTCATGTCCGAATCGACCTACACCTAAAGCCGCTTCTCTGTCCTGCTGGAACATTTCACTTCAACCGTGCCAATACTGTACTGAAATCCATCTACCCGAACAGGCACAAAGATTTTTCACGTGCTCTACCATGTGTAATAGCGCCAATGTCTATATGTTGGTCTCCCAGCAGCGTGTGCTGCTTGTGGCTTACGTTAGACACTCTGGCAGTGACCACCGAACACATACAAACTACCGTTGTGAGCAGGGATTCCGAAAATAGAATAAAATTGTATATATATATGACAACAAATAAATTACGGATTGATCGGCCGTATACAGTCAAATAAATAACTGAAAATGGGACCGAGGTGAAAATAAGATATTGCAGGTATTGCCAAAGGAATAAAGTACATTTCAAACGCACCTCCATCGATGCCACTTTCCAAAACACTATGTCACGGTTGGATTATTAGGATAATTTGTCTCGAGAGAAGATAAAACGTTTGGTTTCGCTCAGCTACTCACAATTTACATGTACCGCAGCCAGCCAGCAAGCACAATAAATTATCACAATTTCAATAGAATAAACATAAATAACGGGTTATGGGCATTATTGACAGCAAAATAAATTATTTTATCGGTCAATAAATATTGCCTTTTCAGTATATTTATTTTTCGGTACTGTATCCCTGGTTGTGAGACAACTCATCTTCTGGTCAAAAAGCTAACTAGTATAATAACAATACCCCGATGCTCGACGCGAACTTGCAGGCACAAAATCACTGTGGATCAAGATGTCTACAAATTCTACTGATTCATGCACGTGTAGTTGTACCAATGTGACCATAGCGACCGAGATTGTCTGCAAGTTGGCGAAGCCATCGTCTTCACTGAAATTCATCGCCGATAAATTATGGTTAGAAGCTATCTACATCGTTGAGTATTGCTATGCTATTATACATCTACGGTTTCTATGATGCCGTTCCGACGGGTGCGAAGCTGCCATGTTGCTCTTGAACAAGCCACACATCGTCGATCACCTGTCCGTAGAGCCCACGGGCTGCTGGGTTCTCGGGGTCGGCTTCTACCTGCTGCCAGTGCAGATGCGTAGCATTCATGACCTCCATGCGCGAGTAGCCGAAGATGGAGTTGCGGAAGGCATCCCAGACCTCAACTGGCCTCTCAAACGACTTGCGCATTATCGACGTCAGATACTGACCCGATGCACCAGTCAAAATGTGCGTCGTAGCGCGCATATTGTGCGTACGCTTCCAGGTTTGTGACTTGTACACATCGAACGCGCGCTCGTAGTTGTGTTGGTGACCGCACAGATACAAATCTACACCGTGCGTGAAGAACTTGTCCTCGAGCTTGTCCCGCAGCATCGCAGCCTTATCGCCGCAGTTAGTGTCGTCTGAGGTGCAGTACATGGGGCGGTGTCCGATCACCACAAGCCAAGGCGTCTGCTCACGGTTTGCATTGGCTTTGGCAAGATCTTGCTCTAGCCAGGCTTCCTGTCGGGCGATCACGTCTCCGTCCACATCTAGCGTTTTCTTGAAGTAAATCTCGGTGGAGATAATCGCGAAGTGCACCAGCCCCACATCAAATGAGTAGAACCAGTTATTCGGCACTTCCTTGGGCTCTGCATCCTTCGAGCGTCCACCGACATGGACAGTCTGCACACCTTCGTTCTTATTGCTCGGCATGAGTCGGAAGCGCTGCGAGTAGTGGCTGAACACGTTGTGAGTCTCGTGGTTGCCCGGACACACCATAAAGGGCACACTCGCAGCAATCGGCTCGATCTCCTGCATGAAGATATCTCCAACGTGACCGTCGATCATGTTCAAGTCGTAGGCGTAGTCACCAACGGACACCACACCATCCACGACCCCTTCTGCGACCTCGGACTGCATCATCGGCAAAGTGGCTGCGTTCTGATAGCCGATATCTCCAGTAACCAAGAATCGCGTTGGTTTGGGTTTCTCTCCAGCACTCAACGGAGCCGGAGCAGTCTTAGTTACATAAGGAATAGACCACGACGTGTAGTATGCGTTGCCCACTACGTAGGTATATCTCGTGTCTGGCTTCAGTCCTTCCAGTCTCACCACATGCAGCCAGCGCTTGGACTGTTTCTCACCATCGTCTTCGAACAGTGTCGTGTTGGCCCAGGCCGTCACGGGGGTTGCATTCGGTCCTTCCACTTCGATACGGGCATGGTAGCCTTCCACCATTTGCAGCTGAGCGTTTCCTTTCCCGCAAAACTCCTTCGTCATCCACTGCACTGCCAAGCTGCCCGGTGTGCGTCCGTACGCCGTGTGCACGTGCTTCGGTCGACATCGCTCTGCTTCGTCTCCTCGGAACGGAAGATTGACACCCAAACGATGCACCGCCGACCACCCGTGGAATACGGACCCGACGATGAACTCATACCCCGCGTCGTGTTCTCCCTCCGGGAGGTTGATGAAAGCCGTATGAGTAGTGAACGTGGCTTCGTCCGTCGTATACGTAATTGCCTCCTTGCTGGTGAATGGTGCCTCTCTGTCTCCACTGACGAGCATGGTATCATTATCGCCCAGTCGTCGGTAGCGCACTACCACGTCAGCGGCGACATCGTGGCATGAGCGCCACGGGTTGGCAAGCACAGGGCTCGGGTCGTGCGACTTCTGTAGCTTAACCTTGCGGATGTACGTGCGTCGTGTGGCCCACTCCACCACAGCGCGTCTGCCCACGACGGACGACCGGATGTCGTACGGCACGCAGTTTTCCACCTCTCGCTTCTCAAAGTCATCGGAGTCTTCGGGCTCCTGCTGGCGCGCTACGACGGCAGCGCGCGGAGGAGGAGGTGCAACGAGCGAAGATATGCTGGCGGTCAGCACAGCCTGCAGTAAGAGCAGCAGGATTGAAGTCTTGGACGCCACCATGTTGTCGGACACCAGCGGATTTGAGACTGCTGGAGACAAACAACACCTGCTGGTGAGGCAACACCGTTTCGCCACAATATGGCTCACAAAAACTACAGATGCGAGATACTGGAGGATAGTATGATATAGAATCTTTTGCTAGATCAATGGTAATTGGTCAGCTCAATATTCAGAACTGAAGATCCTCGGTTTAACGACATAAAACCGATGGTTTTGTTTTTTCAAGGAGAAGATATCCTTTTGTTGAAGGACGAAAGGTTTTTATCTGAAGGTGTCAAAGTTGCTAAAGCATCGTCCGACTCAGCTGCGTTGGCAGCTTCTCGACCGCAGTTCTTCACAACGTCGGACATTTAACGCAAGTACCGCAGTTGCAACGTCACCTCTGCCATATTGAGCTCGACACGAGAATTGGTTCTGATGCTGGTGTGGATTGTACGAAGTATTAGCCAGTGTGATATGGTAAATGAACCATTGGCGTTGAGCAGTCAGCTATAGTCACAATAACTCTCAAGAAAAGTAAACGATCTTCCTTCGCTTAATTGTTGTATTATGAAACGAGTGCAATTACTGCATCAACGAAGTTACCATCGCGGTTGGATAATATCCAATAATTGGATATTTCAATCTTGTTCAAAGCTTTTTCTGCCAATCCGCTCGTTCCAAATTCCGACCAATCTGTGCACTCTCTCCATGAACGTCAAGCAGAAACCTAGAAACGTACCCGACTCCAGTCAATCGCACAGAGCGCTACGCGGACCCTAGTGACGACCATGACGGACGCGACGCCCGACTCCCCCGCTATGAAGCAGCCCACATGGTACCCACCACGCCCCATCGAGGGTCTCACAGAGTACTGGAACACGCACTACCCGCTGCGCCTGTATAACAGCATGACCCGCACCAAGAACGCCTTTGTACCCATGCAGGGTAAACGCGTGCTGTGGTACATGTGCGGCCCCACGGTGTACGACCAGACCCACTTGGGCCACGGACGCACCTACACTTGCTTTGACTACGTGCGTCGCATTATGGAGGACTATTTCGGCCTGGAGGTGGAGCTCGTCATGAACATCACGGATATTGACGACAAGATCATCCTGCGTGCCTCCGAGACCGGCTGGCTCGAGGCCAACCCGGGCAAGGAGCTGCCCAAGGACAAGGACGAGAAGGCCAAACTCGTGATGGAGTGGGCCTCCCAGCAGCCTCCCGAGGACAACATGCGACGCACGCATGAGCTGTCCAAGTTCTGGGAGAAATCCTTCCTGGAAGACATGGCTGCACTTAACATCAAGACCCCTACAGTTATCACCCGCGTGAGTGAGTACGTGCCTGAGGTCGTTGAGTTCGTAGAGGGCATCATCAAGAACGGGTTTGCCTACGAGAGCAACGGCTCGGTATACTTTGACACGGCAGCCTTCGGACGCTCCAAGGGCAAGGCATACGGCAAGCTGCTGCCCGAGAACGTCGGCCAATCAGAACTGCTGGCTGAAGGTGAAGGCGCGCTGTCAGCTGGACAGTCGGACAAGCGCAATGCCAGCGACTTTGTGCTGTGGAAGAAGTCGAAGAGCGGCGAGCCGTTCTGGCCGTCACCTTGGGGTGAGGGACGCCCTGGATGGCACATTGAATGCTCGGCCATGGCGAGTGATGCGCTCAAACATCTGGCTGGTGGCAAGATTGACGTCCACTCCGGTGGCATCGACCTGCGCTTCCCTCACCACGACAACGAGATCGCCCAGTCCGAGGCGTACTTTGACTTCTCGCAGTGGGTTAACTACTTTGTGCACACTGGTCACCTGAACATTGAAGGTCTGAAGATGTCGAAGAGTCTGAAGAACTTTGTCAAGATCCAGGAGGCGCTGATGGACAACTCACCGCGTCAACTGCGTTTCCTGTTCTTGCTGCACAAGTACAACGTGCCCATGGACTACAACGACAACTCGATGGACGAAGCAGTCGGCGTCGACCGCTTCTTTACCGAATTCTTCGCTAATGTCAAGGCTCGCCTCCGTGAACTCGGAGTGGAGAAGACTCAGAAGTGGACACCGGTGGAGAAGGCACTGCACGGAGCTCTGCTGGACTGCAAGGAAAAGGTGTTCCGTGCGCTCAGCGACGACATCAACACGCCGTTGGCGCTGCTGCACTTGCAGCAGCTAGCTAAGGAGGTTAACCGCTACATGGCCGGAGATATCGAGAAACAGGCCTCGATGTTGATCCGCTCCAGCGCCGAGTACATCACTCGCATCCTGTCGATCTTTGGACTTGTAACGTCGGCTACGGACATTGGATTCCCGCTTAGCTCGGGAGCCACTGGCGGTGTTGACCAGGAGACGGTCCTTACGCCCGTGCTGGACATCTTTGCGCAGTTCCGTGATGAAATCCGCGAGGCTGCTCGCTCTGCAGCAGCGGAAGGTGGCGACCCGAAGGCTCTGGCTAGCGCTGTGCTGCGTCTGTGTGATGTGGTGCGTGACGAGAAGCTGCCGTATGCTGGCGTGCGTCTGGAGGACCGCTCTACCGGTGCTGCGGTGTGGAAGCTGGCTAACAAGGACGAGTTGATTGAAGAGCTTGAGAAGAAAAAGCAGGAGAAGATCAGGAAGGAGGAGCAGAAGCGTTTGCGACTGGAGGAAGAGGCCCGTAAGAAGGCGGAGCTGGCTGAAAAGGCCAAGATTCCGCCCAGCGAGATGTTCCTGGGCATGAAGGACAAGTACTCGAAGTTCGACGACAACGTAAGTGTTGTCACTATGATTTTTTGTGGGGTACAGCAGGCTTATTTATGTATGTGTTGCAGGGTCTGCCGACTCATGATGCTGCTGGTGAGCCGTTGAGCAAGGGCCAAACAAAGAAGTTGGCAAAGGAACAAGCCAAGCAGAAGGCGCTTTACGAGAAGCACAACAGCAACTAGATCTAGAAAGAAGAGAAACGCGTTTGATCCTGCAGTAGTCGATTGGATGGCTGATTTGTGTTAAGACTGCGTAGTGCTGCAGTAACGTTGCTTTGCCTGTAAACCTTCGAAACAAGCGCGATCTGATTGCAAAGCTCGACGCATTATCGGATACATGTACTGTACAGTAGAACATGTAGAATTGCACACTGGGTTGAACAATTTGAGCACTTCATTCTTCCGACATGTGAGTGGTAGAAAAACTTTTCCCTCTCACGACATCTAATTGGATGAAAATCTTTTCTAGTTGATCGTGGTCCATTCGACAAAAAGCAGTCACAAGCAGCAGGTAAGCTCCAGGCGGAGCCTTAATGTACGGCGAGGCTGCTCTAGTGATCCTCTACGAAGCAGCACCTCCTTGCTCAGCCTATTCTCCGAAGTATTGCGCAATTAACAGTACTCAGCTTCATATTTTTCAGCAGAAAACGCCCGCGAAATGGCCGTCACAGAACCCATGAAGCGCTCCAATTATGAGTTGGCACGAGGCATTAATGCCATCTCCTCCAACAGCTTGGCCAAGACCAACGGTCGTGTGTTCGCCCACAGCGCCGCCAACAACAAGGTGATGGCCCAGAAGGTCCCCGCGCGAACCACACACTCAACGAAGAAGTGGTATCCTGCCGACTACATACCCAAGCCGCTGCCATCCGCCAAGACCAAACGCAACAGCGTCAAAACTGCCAAGCTACGCAAGTCCATTACGCCCGGCACGGTGCTTATTCTGCTCTCCGGGCGCTTCCGCGGCAAGCGTGTGGTCTTCCTCAAGCAGCTGCCATCGGGCACACTGCTCATCACGGGTGAGTCAAAGTTGCAGCACTTATTTTGGACGGAAGAGTGATGACTTCGAGTCAACGATCCATCAGAGTATTATACCTGAATAATGCCGGCTCTGAGTCTTCGATAAGTGATGCTACCAGCTACGTATGCTGACAGGATGATGTTTACTGTGTACTGTAGGCCCGTACAAGGTGAACGGTGTGCCACTGCGTCGTGTGAACCAGGCCTTTGTCATTGCTACGTCGACTCGAATGGATCTGTCGGACGTGCAGCTTCCGGAGATCGACGATGAGTATTTTACGAAGGACAAGCCGGCTAAGAAGAGCAGCAAGGAGGAACGCTTCTTTGCAGCACAGCAAACCTCGGTACGTTGACGACTAAGTTGTCTTACCTGCACGTATCCTCTTGTGTATATGCGTGGTCCCTATGAGAGCTGATGGATGAGGCTGTTGGGTTTGCAAAAGCGCTTGGGATCGCAAAAGTTCCTCCACCTGTTGAACTGACGGTGGCTCTTGTGTTGTTCAGACCGCGCCAGTAATTGCGGAACAGCGCAAGAAGGACCAGAAAATAGTGGACGCTCTGCTACTGAAGAAGCTTGCGAACGAGCCGTATCTGCGCGCGTACCTGAATGCCAAGTTCACGCTGACCAAGAACGATCGTGTGCACGATATGCGCTTCTAAGCTTTGTGTTAGGTTGAGGCGATGGTGTCATGACGTGCAAATTTACGGAATGGTTTATAACTACAGTGTGTGGCTTTAGTGCTCGTGAGGATTATGCACATGCGCACGGATCCGTGCCACGTTCAACACGCCTCTTGGATCGCAGGTACTGTGAAGCAAGACGCGATAAGCAAGCATTCAGACATTTGGCGAGCCACTGACGAAGCGCTGAACACACTTACCTTACGCCGGTCGCGCAGTGCTTGACGTGCCCACTCAAGCTCGAGCAAGATTTCAGCTCGCGAGTGTGTCACGATGATTTCCTGCACGCTTGCCAGCTGGGTATTCCCATCTTTGCCACGCTGCAGTGGCGCTCCGTCCATGCTTTCCGTTTGACGCTCGGACTGCTGCTTCGTTTCCTCCGCCGACGTTTCTGCTTGGAGCGTGGTGCTTCGTGTTTCTACAGCCGACACGCACGCATCACAGCTGCTGATATCGGAGCTGTTCGCAGCCTCGGCTCTAATAGTCCCCTGCGAAGATTGTGCGCCAGTGTCGTCGGCTGGTGGACAGTTCTCGAACGCACTGTCAAGAGTCGTTTCAAACGGCATCGCCTTGTCCTGTTGCGATTCACTACTTGTATCAATTGCTATCAGCCCGCTGTCTACGCTGGCAGCTCGCTCATATTCGTTTGCAGCTTCGGCGTCGTCGATAACCTGCTCTTCCTCTAACTCGACCAGTGGAAAACGCACTGAAATACCGAAGAGCGAGTCTTCTATGCGCGGCAGCCGCAGTATGCCGTCGCACCCCCAGTCCAGCGAGAAGGACGTTGCCGCTGCTGGCCCAAGTAGCGCCCACTCGCCGTTCAGTTGGCGCTGGATGTCAGCTACCAGAACCTCCGTGTCCTCGCGCACTTGGTACACGATGCGGCGACGAGCCCTCCATCCACGGAAGGTACGCTGCCCTTGGCGTGCAGATGCAGGTCGTCAATCAAAGAGTTCGCACATGATTCCGCAGTGTTAAATCCTCAAATTTACCTGTATCCTCGTCGCAGCCGCGTCGCGCGGTTGGCAGTGCTGCTGACGCTGCTGCTTGTGCATAGCGGAATGTCTCGCCACGTGCGTCAGGAGCTTTCCAACCCAGGGGATTATGCCTTAAAGAAGATCAAGATTCATCCACCGGCGTCAGCAGCAAAAACCATTTTGCACGTGTCCGGTATTTTGTCCCCTTTCAAATCTTATTCCATGTCTCTGCGCATCTCATTCGGTCACTTTCATCAGGACACAGAAACGTTTCCAGCACGCGCGGTCATTTGGCAAAAACGCGCTCACGTTGCACACGACGAGCAGCGACACAATTCAATCGACCTCAATCATCTAACAGTCCACACTCGCATGAAGCTGAATCTTCCTAGTCTTCCGAGTCCGGGAGGCGCTGGGTGGTCCGTGGCGCTCGCTCTTGCACTCGCCCTCCAAGTGGTAATTTATCGCGAGACGCTGCGAGATGCTATGCGTGACGGTGGCAAGCGCCTACTGGTGTACAAGACCATGCACCGCCGCTTTGCAAACCAGCGGCTAAAGCGCCTCAACAGCCTTGGTGATGATCGCAAGTCCCAGTGGATGTGGAAGAAATCGCCGCAAGGTGACACCGTATCCATTGACAGTGACAGCAGCGAAGAGAGCGCCGACGGTACTGGCAGCACGGACGGCCTCATCTCGTCGCAGAAGAAGCTCGTGCTCGTAATGGTGGGTCTACCAGCGCGCGGCAAGAGCTTCGTGGTTCACAAGACACTTCGCTACATCGAGTGGCTGGGCTTCCCCACGCGCATGTTCAATGTTGGCAACCTACGCCGCAAATTGGGCAAAGCTGGCGAGAACGCCAACTTCTTCAGCGCTGACAACTCAGATGCCACACGTCTGCGCGAAGAGATGGCGATGGACGCTTTGGACGACCTGCTCGAATGGCTCGATACCCAGGGACACGTCGCGGTTTTCGACGCGACCAACACGACGAAGCTACGCAGGTACGTACGAGATGGATGGAGTAGTGTGAAATTTGGCTGAATATTGCGTGTTGCGTCGTGGTAATTTCTGCAGACAACATATTCTTGAGAAGGTCAGCTCGCACCGCAACGTCCGCGTCATGTTTGTGGAGAGCATTTGCGACAATGAAGCGTTACTCGAAGCCAACTACCGTCGGTGCGTTGCAAAGCAAATGATCAATGATCGTATGGTCAGCTGACTGTGTATCTGTTTGCAGAAAGCTCTTAAACGCCGATTATAAGGATAAGGATCCCGAGGTAGCACTTGCAGATTTCAGACAGCGTGTGCACGAGTACCAGAAGGTCTACGAGACCGTGGAGGACACGGAGGATGGCGACAATGCGTGCTATGTAAAGGTCTATAACGCCGGCGAGAAGATCCAAGCACGGTACTGTCAGGGTTTCCTGCAGAGTCACATCGTGTCGCTCCTGCAGAATATTCACCTCTGTCCTCACCGCATCTGGCTGGTACGTCCTGGTCCGAGCATTACCAGCTGCCAGGGCATTCTTGGTCTGGACACGGAGCTAGCGCCAGAGGGCCATCGGGTGGCACGTGCCATTGCACGTTTCGTCGAGAATCTGCAGCTCGAACGCCCCATGGAAGTGTGGACGAGTCCTATGAAGCGTTCGAGAGAAACGGCAAACTACCTGCCCACCCGCAACTTGAAGCGCTACGTGACCACAACGTTGCTCAACGAGCTCGGAGGTGGTGATTTTGAAGGCCTCACGTACGATGAAATCGAGCGCTTCTACCCAAAGCACTATGCGGCTCGACTGCAGGACAAGCTTCGATATCGCTACCCAGGCGTGGGCGGCGAGAGCTATGTGGATGTCATCTCACGTCTTCGCTCGCTGATCGTGGAGTTTGAGCGCAAGAAGCGCGACGTGCTGGTGATCTGCAGTGAATCCATTCTACGCTGTCTTATGGGATATTTTGCCGGCTGTGAGGCGGCCAAGGTTCCGCATCTGCAGTCCTACGAGGACACGGTCATTGAGCTGAGCCCGCACCGGGACGGCTGCGACATCAAGCTCATTCCGCTCGAGTTTGAGGATTCCGAAGAGGATGTCACCACTGTGCAATAAACCACCGATACGTCGTAGAAGTGGCACGGTCGAGATCAATACAAGCGGAGCGAAACCCAGCTTCGACAGCGTCTTGGGAAATACACCTACATTGCTCTCTTTTGCAAGGAGAAAATCGCCACCTCCATTTTCGGTATCATTTTGGATCGAAGTTGAAGTTGTTTGCCGAATGATTTGAAGCGACAAAAACTGTCATGCTCCTCTGCCAGATGCAATACTTGCCAGCAACAAATAACAAGAGAAGCTTGAGAATGAGAATATACATGTAGTGCCAAAGGACCTTGACAAAGTCATGAAATGCCCTACAGCTGCCAATCACGACTACTGTTCACAGCCACAGTTGATTCTCTTCCGATGCCTATCGACTGTAATGGCTCTGGCTGTTTGAAGACTTGGCCCATTTTTTTCACGACCAACTCCCGTACTCTCCTTTTTGATATGCCAAAAATACATCCCTACATTTGGGAGGCAACGGTGGAATTCTTGCTGGCTTAGACGGAAAACATGGAGAAGGAGGAGAAGGTCCGCGTGGTGGTGCGCGCTCGGCCCTACGTCCGTCCCACCGGGCGCACTGGCAGTACCCCCAGAAACAACAATAGAGATAAACACAAGAACGACCAAGAGTGCGTCGCAGCTAGTCCTGAAAACCCTGGAGAGCTCTTCGTTTACACCGATCCAGGTCGCACTCGCGCAGCCACATTTCGTTGCGAGACGTTCCTGTCTTCAACAGCGTCCCAAGAGGACGTATTTGAGCAGATACGCGCGAAAGAGCTGGTCGATTCTGCGCTGGAAGGCTTCCCTGTGACCATTTTCGCCTACGGACAAACGGGTGCTGGTAAATCCTTCACCATTTTTGGACAGGAAGACGATGTCACCGCGCGCAAAACGGCTCTGCAGGAGCAGGACGGTCTTTTACCACGCATAGCACAAGAGCTGATGAATGCAGTTTCTGCTCGGAGAGGTGAGATTGAGTACACTTTACGTGTGACTTGCGTTGAGATCTACAACGAGCAAGTACGCGACGTATTTGACCCACGTAAGGAGACGTTGGCAGTGCGCTCTTCGAAGACTCACGGTTTTTTCTTGGAAAACGCTACTGTGGTCGAATGCATGACAGCTCGAGAAATTGTAAGGGTGGTGAGGGCTGCTGCTACTCAACGCACCAAATCTAGTCACTTGCTGAACGAACGATCAAACAGAAGTCACTGCCTCGTAACAATTTATATTGACGCAGCACCGCTAAAGTCCGGTTCATTGGGTGGCAAACGCTATGGCAAAATCACGATCGTTGATCTGGCTGGCAGTGAGCGTGTTTCAGATTCTGGCGCGGTGGGAACACAACTCCGTGAGACGTGCCACATTAATCGGAGTCTTCACTGCCTTAGTCAGGTGATTCAAGCGATGAATGCCCCCAAATGTAGCAAAACAGGGAAGCCCAAATTCGTACCATACCGGGACTCTAAGCTCACAATGCTGCTACTGGACAGCTTAGGGGGAAACTGTAAGACCCTTATGATCGCTTGCGTGAATTCGTCGCCTCAGTTTGCAGTCGAGTCGGTCCGTACACTTGACTTCGCAATGGGCGTTGCCAAAATCAAAAATCGCCCGACAGCTCTGCTTACTCCGCATGTAAGTGGCATTCCAATTGCTTGGCATACACGTTTCTTCCTAACGTTTAAAGTATGATTTCTACTTCGTATCTTAACAGGAAAAACTCATTAAAGATCTGAAAGAGCAGATCAGACTTCTCAAACTTGAAAACAAAATGTTGCGAGCTCGAACGCCAGGATGTACGCTTGTTGCTACGGATTGATATATTTGTCGTAGTAGTTGTACTCAATTCGCTCTGGTGTTGTTTCAGATTTTATGGAGCATCCTAACAACCAGCTGGATCCTTTTACAAACGAGTTTGCCGAACAGCAAGTTCGACAGCATGTTCAAACTTGCACCGAACCCACGTATCTGTCTGGAGACTCCCTCGATGCAATACATCGAAAGAATAATGTTCACCAAAAAGTAGCTCAGCAAGAGCTCCGAACACTGTAAGTTGTCGTCGTTCTCTATGGATTGCTACACAATGACACATAGCGCACTGCGTGTTGAACACCAGAAAACAAAAACCTCCGCTTCGCCACCTACGGAAATCGCCCAAGAGGAAGATGTACGTGAATACTTCACCTTAATACCCTGCTGATTTTAACCTGCCTTGTTGCTCAATTTAGTTTAACGAGTATATCCAAGTCGTTCACCAACAAGCACGCTCTGCCCCTTGTCAGCAAGAGTGCACCACCACCGAGATCGTTTCAGTATATCGTGCAGCATCCCGAAACTTTTCACTCCAACCAAAGCACGAATCACCTCGTGCTTCCACGCACAGACTCGCCCCCTCCACCGTACAATGATTTGTTTGGGATTGAGACGGTCTCGTATTCGCAGAGTCAACCATCCAGCAACCTCTTCAACCCCCATTTGCCTCCAACAAGACCAGCCCAAGCGCAATCACTTTCAAACAACCGTCAGGAGAGAGAATTATTAGCGAAAACTCTTTCACCTGAAGAGCAGTTGCAACTGTTGCTAAGGCAAATGCTGCCTGAGTCTCAACCTCCGTCAACAAACATGCCTGAACGAACTGACAAGCGACAAAAGATGCAGCAGATACCATCGAAGCCCGCAAAACCTCCTGCTTTTACCCCCTCGGTACAAAATAACTACCCACCTGTCAGCAACAACAACAACATAGGCAATAAGTCCGCCGAGTGGGATGATCGGCGTGCCCAGGACTTGTTCATGCAGCTCTGTCGTCTGTAATAAAAAGTTATAGGCACTGTTAACGCAAGTCATTATCAGACCACTTCAACGTCAGAACCTCTCTTGATTGGTCAAAACTATGACCAATCATATTTACCGGCGTCCGTCCTGCGTCCTCGGCAACCATTTCTCGCCCACAACTTCAGCATCATGGATGACGGCCTCTTCGACGGCGTGAGCGCCCAGCAGCTCTTCCACAACAAGGACAGCAATGGCCTCACCTTCGACGACGTAATCTCCCTGGTACTGTACGCGAGCAATTGCGAGTATTGCACCATCTCTCGTCGTCGATTAAGCTCACTTTTCGGTACTTTGAATATGTCAACGCGTCGCCTCCCTGCTTCTGCCATAGCCTGGCCACAGTACGTTGCATTTGAAGAATAATAGCGCTTACGTTATATCTAACGATTACATTTGGTCAGTTAACTTTGGCGTTCAGGATGTGGATGTGACCACGAAGCTGACCAAGAAGGTCAAGTTGTCGGCGCCCATTGTGAGCTCTCCAATGGACACCGTGACGGAGGCCAACATGGCCATCGCCATTGCCCTGCAGGGAGGTTTGGGCTTCTTGCACTGCAACAACTCGATCGAGCAGCAGGCCGAGATGGTGCGCGCGGTCAAGCTCTATGAGAACGGCTTCATCCCCGAGCCGAAGGTGCTGGGACCGACTAATACTGTCCTCGATCTGGACCAGCTCAAAGTTTCTGGTGTGCCAATAACGGAGGATGGGCACCCCACGGGCAAACTTGTCGGTCTAGTCACGAGCCGCGATGTCGACTTCATAGATGACCGTTCGGTGGCATTATCGACCATCATGGTGCCTCTCGAGCAGCTGGTTGTTGGCACGTATCCGATCTCGCTTGAGGAGGCCAACAAGGTGCTGAAGGAGGCCAAGAAAGGCACGCTACCTATTGTCGATGCGTCGGGCAACCTCGTGTCCCTCATGACCCGCTTGGATTTGCTCAAGCACCGCGACTACCCGAACGCTGTGCGTGACCCTGAAACGCACAAACTGCTTGTGGGCGCAGCTGTGTCGGTAAATGAGCAGGCTAAGCCACGCATCGATGCTCTTGTTGCTGCTGGTGCCGACGTCATTGCTTTGGATGCCCGGCAGGGTGACAGCGCTTCTCAGATCGAGCTTGTCAAGGTACGATGCCGTTCTTTGATCATCGTTATCCTAGATAGCTTAGTGTGCTGATTCTTTTTCGATTTACCAGTACATCAAGCAGACGTACCCGTCCGTTGAGGTTGTTGGCGGCAACATTGTTACCATGAAGCAGTTGAAGAACCTGCTTGACGCTGGTGTGGACGGTGTCCGTGTTGGTATGGGTGTGGGTTCCGTGTCCACGTCGCAGGTCGTGAAGGCCGTGGGTCGTGCCCAGTTGTCTGCTATCTACAACACTGCTCTCCTGGCCAAGGACTATGGAGTCCCCGTCATCGCTGATGGTGGCATCAGTAGCCCTGGTGCTGCTATCAAGGCCCTCTCGCTTGGTGCTTCCGTTGTCATGATGGGATCGAGTCTTGCAGGTACGGCGGAGGCCCCAGGTGACTATTTCTTCCAGGACGGCATGCGTCTCAAGCACTACTACGGAAGTGGCAGTCACGAGTATTATCGTCACGGTGATCCAGCACACACCGCCGCCACTGCTAGCCTCGTTGCTGTCGGTGTGTCTGGTGCGGTGGTGGACCAGGGCAGCGTGCACAAGTACTTGCCATACATCCAGCAGAGTATCCGCCACGGATTCCAGGACCTGGGAGTGCGCTCCATTCCGCAACTGCACACCGCGCTCTACAAGGGAGAACTACGCTTCGAGCGCCGCACCGTCAGTGCGCAGAAGGAGGGCGGTGTGCACGATTTGTTTACGTACTCCAAGCAACTCTACGCCTAAGCAAGTTCACTGACGACAAACTGACTGCATTATTACTACGCTATACAGCTTCACGCATTAAATTTACCTTAAAAATGCTAATACACGTTATGGCTGCGGCGGTATGCAGCAAATTGCCACCACTAGAGTGAGTCTTACTTAGCTAAAGTTGAAGTGGCAAGTCATTTCGTCCCATATTTAACTTCCTCTGGTCCCATACTCGATGCATTTGTTTTTGTACCAATGAAATTGCGTCATTTGCATTCAAGTCAGTCGCAGATTGACCATGTCGCCGACGTCAGCAGAACAGGAGCCTTCGCGCTTCTGGTGCCACGAGTGCGGCGCTGCCGTAAATACGCGCGTGGACGACGCCAGCGAGGAGGTCTGCTGTGTCCAGTGCGGCGGCAACTTTGTGGAGGAGATCGAGGAAGTGCGTCTACAGTGTGTTTTCATCGTAAATTCCGCTTTTTGTAACCTTTTTTACATTCTGTTGTCATTCTTCTTTCTTGTAGGACGATCCGCCACAGGATTTTCAGGCTGAACAAGTAGAAAACATACATACACAAACTCAACCACCGACAGTCTCTGCGGAAGACACGACGCGGGCGGAAATCCGTAATGAGTTTGGCGGTACTCGCCCGTTGCCACGGTACGATTTGCAAGTTTTATCATGATTTCTTTTAAATAGTTTTTACGTTTTATCATTTTTGTCGTTTTGTTTTGAATAGACCAACAGTTCGAGCCGCCAGGTTTACAACGTCAGATGAAGGGCGAGAAGGAGCTCCGCTGCCTGAGTGAGTTCTTTGAGGTTTTGTGTATAGGAAAGGTTGTTCTCATATGTTCATTTTCTGAGTAGTTTGTTCCAGTTTTTATCGGGTTCTACTGGACGGAATACACGCTTCATGAGCAGCACTGGAAACCCCGTGGAGTTTTACGTTAGTGAGTCAGGAGAAGGTGGAGGAGATCCGATGGGCATTTTGGATGCTTTGGGAGGCATGTTTCCAATGCTGGCCGGCAATCCTGGTGACTATGCGTTTGGCAATATGGCTAATGTGATTAACCAACTCATGCAGAATGACCCCAATCGGGTAAGATATTGGAAGGCTTACAGGTTTGGCTGGTGTGATGTCTAACTTGATGCTGTACCGCTAAATTACCAGCATGGGGCTCCTCCTGCAGCTAAGGAGGTCGTAGAAAAGCTACCGAAGGTGAAGATCACTCAAGTTGAAGTGGACGGCAGTGCTGAGTGCCCTGTGTGCAAGGATTTCTTCGCTGTGGATGATGAGGTCCATCGTCTACCGTGCGAGCACTCATTCCACCCAGACTGTATCCTTCCCTGGCTGAAGCAGCACAACTCGTGCCCACTTTGCCGATTCGAGCTGCCCACAGATGACCCAGATTATGAGAGACGACGTGCATCCTCCTCCTCCACATGAGATAACCACACAAGACTCACATCCACTCTCAAGCAAGGCACGATGCAAAGCAGTACATGTAGTCGTTTATTAGTCATTTTCACTGATAGAGTAGTAGGCCAAATGAACAAAAGAGTTGGTCGTGCTTTGGCGCGGTATAACATGACGAAGATTCGGAATGAAATCTAATGTGCATATTTGAAATTCCGGAGGTTTCACAAGTCGAGGGGTCGGAGGCAATTAGCAGCGTAATGGTAGTGTTGAGACCTGGTTCTAGCGTATTGAAGCCAGGCGTTCGTGAAAGGCAGCGCGAGCTAGAGACGGCGATAACCAAATATGAAGTATTTTCTTTCGTGCTCATTACCACCACCTTCGTGCTGATCGTCGATTATTGTGCGTTAGTTTCTGCTAGCGATTGGTCGGACGAAAAACGCGGACTTTGCTTCGTTGGATCTGCCACAACTTGTGTTCCGCCTCGCAGGTACAAGTAGATTGTCGGGAAGTTTGTTACATCTACGCTAATGCGTTTGTTGGTTGGGAAGAGTGTCGCCTCTGCTTGATTCGTCTTCAACGGACTGCATGGCAAATTGACCAGAGCGGACAAGAACCTAAGCGAACTCACCTCGATGGTGGAGACGAAGAAAACACTACTGGGGAAGGTGATACCATGCAGGCGAAATTACAAGAAATGCTCGAGACGACACGGAAACTGTTCCAGGTCCGTGTAAAACTCGATATGTATGAATTTCTAGCTCTTCTTACCAATTGATGTAGCTCCCTGACGTTGCAAGGAGCACGTTAGCAGTGCAAGGGGAAGTGCAAGTACTTCTGGAGAAGGGAGAACTGCTTACTTTTTGTAAGGTAAGGTTGGTGGAATAGTAGTTTACAAGAGTAATAATTCATGCGACAATGTCTAGGACCACGCAAACGCGATGGCTGTGTATGCAGAGGCGATTCGACTATGCTATAATATCCAGGATGAGGCCACGGAGGCAATTTTGGTAGTTCTACCGCTACCATCAGCTATACGAATACTTCTAATTATTTACCTGTTTGTCATCTTTAGACGTCAAAGCTGCTTCAGCTTCAGCGTCACGCAGATGCTTTAAAGCGTGTCGAATCTCTCGTGAATGAATTCTCATCCGATAGTGATACTGGAAGCGAACGAAGCAGACTTAAAACAGCATTTGAGAAGGTTGCGGATGCTGAGGGATTCTTGATGAAAGGTCAACTGCAAATACTTGCACAAGAGCTAGGTATGACTGACGTTCTTAGCAACAATGAGATCGATGAAATATGGAGTCAGATGTTAGAGATGGACAAGACTACCCACACTAGCAACGAAGCAGCATCTCCAATCATTTCATTTGAGACGTTGTGGAGATGGTGGGTGTCTGATGCTGCATACCAACACAACACCCTTTTCTAGCAAACTCAAGGCACTAAATACACTGCAACGACTTTTTTTTTGCTTCGATGTATTATTGAGTTTACTCCACTACTTCTGGGTAAACTCATGGGCGAAAAGCTGTCGTAATCTGGTTGCTCCGACGAGCCTCGGTAGATCGGACTTGTATCCAGAGCCGCGATGTACTGTGGGGGGAGGGCTATCCGTATAACTCAGCGGCGCATAAGCTCGCATATTTGTCACGTCGTCGTCTTCATATTCACGGGCAATATTTCCATAGTGGCCCAGGATTTCAATGTCGTTGATGTCGCGCGATGATCCAGCTTGAGAAACTGGAGCGATACTCACCGACCGTTTATCTTCTTGCTCATCACGCCCCACCCTGTCTAGTTGTTCAGCAGTATCGCTGCTGGAGCGAACTTGATGGTCTGACAGTGTACTTGGTCGGCCTCGGACGCGAGATGAAAGTGCTCGCTTCCTTGGGTCGCAGCCTTTTCCGACATTACTAGAAGTTTGTATAAAGTGTAGCAGCCAAAAGAATTAAACTTGCCAATTTTAAACCAATCATTCGACGTTATCAAAGAAATTTTGTCCAATAGTATAGCCAGGACAATGGCAAGTCATGTACGCCAGCCGTTCCGACGTATCGTGTCGGAATGCCCCGCAACATATCTATACCTCCTCGCAATAAGCAAGTGAAAAGCATATCACTTGCATATCTGCCACCTATCCGACAGGAGGCATGGGCTTGGAGGAGTTGGCCCCCGTAAACACAAA